AAAGAGGAAATGCAGCTCCTCCCTGCTGATGCATGAGCCTCCCAGCCCTAGGGCTACAGTTCATGTTCCTGAGGTAGATGAAGGGCTACAACGTTCCTCAGAGGCTCCAGTGCAAGACCATGGGCAGTAAATCAGGCTGCAGGATAAACTGCTGGAAAGGTGGGCTCCTCCCAGCTGGGCCTGAAGAGGAAAGGCTGCCTGGGCTTTACCTGGACCCACGGGGCTGTTAGATCACTGAAAACTGCTGTAAAAACATTTCCCACAGCCTTTCATTTCACTTCCCAGTAACTGCCCTGCTCCCTGCATCACTCCTTTGGGATTCTGCCCCTCTGCATCCCATTGTCCCAGGCACTCTGAGGTCACAGCAGGGAGAAGGAGGCTCTGGCCAGCAGCAGTAACAGGCCCCTGTGGAGTCAGGACAGGCTCCATCAAAACTGCATCAAAAACCTGCATCAAAACACTCCCCATGTCCACACCTCATGTCAGCCCCACCTTTCACAGAGGCCAAAGACCCCCTGTCCTGTACAGTCATTTTATTTAAATCAAGTTAACTTTGTTTTTACATTAATGCCTCAGTGCATCCTGTAAAAGGGAAGGAAGGATTTTTAAAAAGTATTTGTACATAAGACAATAAATCATAGAAATGAACACAGTAACATCAACAACCCCTAAAACATGCACAGTTGCACAGGGAGCAGGGGGTGGCTGGAGGAGGAGGAGGTCAGAGGGAGGAATCTGAGCTTTACATGTGATTAACACAAACAGAAACAGATGCCAGTGACCAGGGTGCTGATCAGAACCACTGGCACCTTCTGGATATCAAAAGCTGAATTCCCCTCAGTGACATTTCAGCCTAGTAGAAGATAAATCTGAGTAAGAACAAGTTTATAGGATAACTCTTCATCAGGCACCTGCTGGAGGTGTAACACACCAGGAAAGGCAGGTGGAGGAGCAGCAGTTTGGTGTCACTGCAGGGAGCCCACAGCACCAAACACTGGAGTTTTGTCACCAAATGAAGCCTCCCCTTCCCACACCTCAACAGCTTCCACCCACCACTAGAAGCCACTTCCTTGGGCCATAAAAGACACAGCCTCCTTTGCAGACCATCTGCTGCTTCTGGGAGATTGCAGTTGCTTCTATTTCTTCTCTTGGAAATGAGCCCCTAAGATCCAAGACAGAAGTTCCTACACCCTCACCCCAGCCACCAGCCCCTGTGGCTCCAGGACCACAGCAGGGACAGGAACACAGCATGGTGTCCAGCAGCAGCCCCAGCAGCCCCACTCTCTGAGGGCAGCACATCCTCAGCACACCCCCTGCCACGTTTGGTTACTAGCCTTGGGTTTGGTTTGGAATTCTCTCTACAGAGGAGCACAAGTCACTGCATCCTCTGAAGAGCCTTTCTTCTCCTGGCCATAGAGGAAGTGACCATCAGCTCCAGCCTTCTGTCCCCTCCCTAGCCTCAGTTCTGAGCACACACCTTCAGAGGAGAAGCACAAGCAGCAGACACCTGACACCTTATCAAGCCAGATCAGTCGATTGGCCCCAATTTCACCTTAACAAGTGATAACATTAGTATTCATTTTAGTCCACCCTCAAAAGAAGAACAGGAGAAATAACGTGAGAAAGCAGGTACGTGACTGTGACCTTAACTCGAGGCAACCGCCTCTTTGCTGACTTGATTCAGCCCCAAATTAAGGGGGGGAGATGAGGAAGAAGTGAGGATGAAGAGGCAGCCGTTTCTAAATGCTGAGGCGACCCCACAGCCTCTCCCACCACCTGCAGAACGACCTCCAGGAGCAGGAGATGTGGTGCAGCAGCAGCACCCACCTCCGGCAGGTCGCTCCGTTCCTGCCCTGTCACATGTGCAACCTCCACCTGTGGAAATGCACATCAGGCCAGATGTGCAGGGACAGCTACCTGGACCTCCAGCGTTGGGAGGAAGTGGAAATTCATACACCCACCTTGTCCCTCCCCCTCAGCCACCCTCTTGACACCTTCCTGTGGGCAGGGCAGCGGCTGCAGGGCTGGTCTCACCAGCACAAAGCTCCAGGGACACAGCGTGGGACCCTCCAGAGCTGGGCAGACCTCCCCCCCCAGCTGAGGAGGTTGTAGTTGGGACAGAAAAGGGAACAAAATTTAAAAAAAAAAATCCCTTCAAGTAATTTCAAACAGCCCATCCTTGAGGTTAAGCTGTCCAGAAGCAGGGACCAGCTGGGCCTGTTTGGGGTGATAAGGCAAACATCTGAAGTCCTAGAGGGATGGAAGGATGAGAAGGTGTCAGTAGTGACCGACTGGGAGTTACTCTGTAGGTTGCTTCTTCACACTCTGGTGATTCCCATCTCCCAGTGACCAGCACCAGCTGCCTCAGTTACTTCTGCACACAGCCTGGCCAGGCCAGCCCACCACAGGCTAATGAGAGGATGATATAGATGATGACCTGGGGAAAGAAAGGGCCACTTCAGGGGACAAGCAAACTTCCATCACCCAGCCAAGGCTGGCTCGGCCTGGCCATCAACACACCAGCTTGGAAACCCCCCAAAGAACTTGTCAAATGCCCTACAGGACTTGGTGCCAGCACCTGCATGTCCTTGCAGCAACACAGGGATGAGAACTGACCCCAGCAAAACATAAAGGAGGGCTCAGTGGGGCAAAGTACTTCACCACTAGCCTGCAGTGACATCTCAGGATCCTCCCAGCCCCTGCTGCACTTGTCACAGGCTGGGGACACAGGGAAACAGCAAAAAAAGCTACTTCAGCATTAAGGAACAAGACACAACATCTAAGTTGGTAGGACTAAGACCTATAAAGCCTTCATAGATGGAGCAGCCATAAACTGTGCCTTTGCTTCCAAGGGAGCTGGCAAGGCAGCTATGACAGGCCCCTAGAAGCCAGACAGAATTCCCTGGAAAGCTTTTCCTATTGCTGTGCCAAGAAGAGCCACCTGGCACGATGCTCCTCTCCTCCTCACCTCTGACAAGACCATCAAACCCTTTCCTCTCCAGCCAAGACCCTCCCAGGCACGAGTGGCTCTGCAGACAGTTGGGTGGTACCAGCCTGCCCAGGAGCTGAGCTCCCTACTCACTATGGAGACGATGATGATGACGATGGTCAGCTTGAGGTTCTTCATGCACATGGCTCTGGCGAGGTTCCTGCTGGTGGTTTTGAAAGTGACTGACTGCAACAGAGAGTAAAACAACTCATTAACTCTTGAGCCTGCTGCAAAGGAAGCTGCATCCCAAGAAGCTCCATGAAGAGGCTTTTCCCAGCTTCAACCTCCCCAGTAGCCCAAACCCCTGCAGTTCTCTCCTCCAGAGCTGTTTAACTCCTGCAGTTACACCAACACAGAACAAGAACAGGCATCAAAACTCTCCCACAAAACTTCAGGGGCAAGATAAAGAGTAAGAGTAGGTCCAGAACCAGCTGGGGGATATGACTTCTAACCTTCTGAGGAGGTTAAAAATATTTTTTGAACTACTGATCTAATCACCAGATTTATTACTGTAAATAGACCTGCCAACATGAGACCACTCATATTGCTGCTCCTGACAGCAGTTCCACAGGGCCCAGACAAGTCCTTTAATCCTAGAACTTCCCTCCAGTCTTGGGCTTGCTGCAGTTTCTGGGAAACTTGTGGTTGCCCATCTCAAGTCTCCTCTCTGCATCCCTCAATTCCACCCACTCAAACCAAGTGTTGGTCACCGGAAGCCCCGAGGGCTGCAGCACCCACCACAACCCACCTCAGCAGCACACTCTGCTGGTTGTTTTCAGGTTTTCCCCACAAACCACCCCACAACTGTTCCAAACAAGCGACTCCAGGCAGAACTGCATCCCTGTGGAGGGCATGTTGGCCTGAAGCTGATCCCCTGCTACCTCCCTACACCAGGAATACTTTTTTGCCAGCTTGGAGGTGTTTGGATCTCCACAAGGCCCCCACAGGAGACCCTGGCACTCTCCTGGGTTGAGGATCCAAGGGTCAGGAACTGGGCACCAAGACAGGACTCTGCAGAGGAAGATGCTGGTCCAGGGATTCCCAGAGGGAAGACTAGAAACCTTCCAGAGTGAACAACACTTTGCTAGATCATCACATTCCACTTTAGTTCTTCCCCAGACTTACTGAATCCACAAGATTCTCTGTTTTATCGATCAGCAGCTCCAGCTTCTCTCCTCTTTGTGCCACAAGGTCTGGAGAAAGAGACAAAAATCCACACCTGTAGGATCCCAGTGCAAAAAGCTGCTCCCAGCACCCAAGCTCAGCTGCAAGCCAGGAGCTCTTGGCAGTGGCTCCTTAGACACCAGGTAGCTCTCAGACTGGCAAAGCCTGCCAGGCAACAGTCTCACATCACACAGGCTGCATTTTGGGACCAGCCTGACTCAATTTTGGTCAGTGCCAGATCCAAGCCTCTATTTTAAGTGGTCAGACTTGTCAAAACCCAGAGTCTTGACAAAAGAAAAAGCTACAGAGGGGCATCTTCCTCACAGCAGCTGCAGGACAGCCAGAGCAGACCCAGAAGACTCTTCCCCTCTCTCAAGCTGCCCAGGTTCATGTCCAGCAGAGCTCCTCACCCCTCAGCCAACTTCAACACACAGACCAGCCTGCAAACTCAGCACCCCCCCAGCCCCTTCCTCATCATCTCCCTCTGCCCAGAGCCCACCCCAGCACTCTGGACAACATTCCCTGTGGGACAGCCCCCCTGGCCTGGAGGAGCCCTGCCTGGCACCCAGGGGAGGTGTCAGACACCCACCTATGTTTCGAACCATGATTCCTTTAAGTTCATCAATTTGAGCTTGTGTCTCTGCCACCTGGTCAGGGCCCCTGCTCTCTGAGTGGTGTTTCTGTAACAAGTGAAGAGTCAGTGAAAACAGGCACCCACAACAGCACTGCAGCTCCTCAGGACACAACAGGACACTCTTGGTCACTAGAGAGCAGCACAGACATAGATGTGAGTTTTCAAGTTATCCAAGACATCTCTAAGAGAGAGTCAGGAGCAGAGCAACGTGTGTGCCTTGCTCCCAGTGTCAGTGATGCTGGCTCCCACTGGTCACCTGGAACTGGGCCTGACATTTCAAACGTCACCACTAAGATCTGCTCTCCAGTGCAGCTCCCTGGTACAGACAGTTAGTGCCTCCCTGGCAACCACAACCCATTTTTACCACCAAAGCAGTGAAGCAACCAGCTGCAGAGTGAGCATGGAGAGGACAGCCAGCTCCCCTGGCTCCACAGCACTTCTATTCCAAGGGAGAAAATACAAGAATTTCCAGGAAGAAGTTTGGCTTGTCAGGGAAAATCCTGCATAGGAACAGATCTCACCAGCTGGGCAGCCAAGACACTGGAGAACTCGCTGTTCATTGCATAGGGAAGGGCTGTCTGTGCTCTGGAGCCATACGTGGTCTGGAACCTCTTCTTGATTTCATTCAGGAAGCTGAAGGCTCTGGACCGTTCAAAGTCCTGGAAGGAGAGAGCAGAGCCATGTCCAGAGTGTGTCCAGGCAGGGGCAACAAAGTGTAGGGGGCAAGTGGGCAGCTGGAGAGAAACTGTGACTCTCAGGTGTGAAGAGGCTGTGTGTAAGGGGTGGGATCTGCCTGGTTATCATCCCAGGGCAGCAGCCACATCCCAGGCTCAGCTCCTGGACATGGGCAGCAGCCCTCACAGGGGCATCCAGCCCCACTTCTCAGCCCCTGCCTGGTACCTTCTCCCAGTGAGGGAGAAGTTTTTGCTGCAACACTCCCAGAACTGAGGAATATTGTGCACATTTCTCTGGCAATGAGGCTTCCCTCTGCATCCAGATCCTGCTGCTCTGGGGCTGGAGAGGGGAATCAGGCAAAACCAAGAACTTCACCTCAAAACCAGTCACATGCATTGGAGTTCCAGGTTTAGACTTCAAAGCTGAAACTGATCTGGAAGGCCTTGTACAGCCTGGTCTAGTGGGAGGTGTCCCTTCTCATATCAGGGAGGTTGGAACCTGATGATCTTTAAGGTCCCTTCCAACCTTCACCATTCTATGATTCTATGGATGAGAACACAAGCAGGAGCAGCAATGGAGAAAAAAAAAAAAAAAAAGGCACCCCAGATTAACACCCCCCATGGATTTAGTTTGACACACAGATACAAAAAGAGCCAAAGCCCCCAGAGAGCCTGTGCAAGAGCTGCACCAAAATACTTACATCATCTGTGATGCAGAGGTATATAATTCTGTCTTGGCAGATGTAATGGAACAGGTAACTGCAGAGAAGTACAAAATGGAAAAAGAATCATTTGGAGCTGCCACAGGACTGATCTTCCAGAAGACACCCCTGTCTGTGAGGCCTTCAAGGGCTGGAGAAGTGGAAGAGCAAATCCCAGCTACTCCAACAGAAAACCCCAGATGCCAGCAGGTCCCAGCCATGGCTGTGGAGGGGTCTCCATTCCTCTCAGCTACCTGCCATCAGAGCCCCCCATGTTAAAGGCTCCCTGCCCTCCTGTACTCCACACCAACTTTGTGGGACATGCAGTCACCAAACAACTTCAGTTCCACCTTCTTCCTGCTACTTACTCGTAAAAACAGATCCCTGAGGGCACCCAGGGCTCAGACCTGTGCCCAGCACACATGCAGTGCCCTGTTTCACACACAATGAGCTGCAGTTAATTGGAGTGACCAGAAAGCAGAGTGACCCTTGCAGGGGCAGTGGCTGCTGCTTCAGCCAGGTCTGTGGGACCACGGGGCTCCCTGCCTCTGGTTTGTGACAGACAACAGCAACCACAGCAGATAATGCATTAGGCAGAACAATCATCAGGCTGAACAGGCTTGAATCATGTGCCTCAGTTAACTAGTCATGTAAAGGTGCCAGCACAGCCATCAGCTAAATGCCAAAGCCTGAAAAACTGTGCAAGCCAGTTCAAGGCAGCATTTACCTACCAAAATCAAACCAAGCTGTTATTTTAGGCCCATCAGGAAAAAAACCCTCACTTTGTGCACAACTAAACCCAGACCAGCACTGATCAGACCATTTCACTTCAACTCACTGGCTTCAGGTGTAGCTTTTTTCTTACACTGCCCCTCATCACCATTTGATGGTCCTAATTCAAACCTCTTTGTAACCTTTCACTTGGACACCTGTGTATTCCCAGAAGTTTTTCCCCAGTAGGTGTGTGGACCCTCTTGCAAACTCCAGAATGAAACCAGGTAAGGTTGTTTTGTGCAGCTCTAAGGCTCAATTGCCTTCAGACTCAGGCTTTTTATTACACAAATAAGAAAAGAGTGAAGTATGCTTTACAGGTGGGCTAGAAGTACAGTTTGCTGCCCTGACTACCAGAGAGCCCAACAGTCTGACATCCACAGCTGAGCACCCACCAGCTCCCTGGTTATGCTGCAAAGTTTTTTTGGGGAAAAAAAGCAGCTCTTGAGCTGACTGCACCTTCCATCAGCACACTGACATCCCAGTGCCAGTCTGGCTCTACACTTACTCCTGCCCAGGGGCACGTTCCCTAGCCTCCCCTCCCAGGCCCAGCAGAGCAGCTACTCACTTCCCATGGGAATAGGTCAGTTTGTTGTTTTCCGATGGGATTTTGGCCAGGATCTGCTCTGTCACCTCCAGGAAGTTTCCTCCACACCAGGCATGTTTGGCAAGGATGGTGGTGCCCCTGGCCACCACAGCAAACAGGATAGCCATGGCTTCACTCCACCTGCAGGAAAACAGGGCAAGGATTAGCTGAGAGTTCCCTGCACAGAAGCAGCGGAATGTTCACCCTCTTGGCTCAGCCCTCCAGGTGAGGGAGGGTGCAGAAGTGTGTTCAGTACTTCCACAGGACACCATTATCAGAAAGTTTCTCTCATTTCCCTTTTCAGGTTCTGTTCAGAACACCAAGACTACAACCACCTCCAGAAGGTTCTTCCTGTTGCAGCTTCATGGTCCTACAGCAGCCATCCCACCACGAGCTCTGCCCACCTTGGCTCCACCGAGATTTTTAGTTACTAGTACATTGTTTTGCTCTTCAACTGACCCTGAGGTTCCTTCTTTCTTGTTATGACAAAGCTGCATGCCCCCAGCAGCCTCCAGCTCAGAAAGGAAGTGGCTGCCTTGCCAGGATGGTAAGAGCAGCTCATTAAACAGACCAAGCCCCCGTCCCTGACACATGACTGCTCAAGGGTGAGGCCTTGGCCTCGGTTGCTGTCAGACTGAAGGAGAAGAACTGCCACTTGCCCAGAGCCATGCCATACATGTCCCCTTTGCATGGTCCAGAGGCACCCTGAGTGTGTGCTGGCCCCAGAGAGCTGTAAAAGCACATCAGCTGCACCTCTCCAAGCCAGGCAGACCATCTGCAAAGTGATGACCCCAGCCCCACTCCCTGTCTTGCACAGATACCACACTGGATGGGTCACAACGTGCCAGGGTCTGAGGTGTGTGAAGTGTCTGGAGCTGGAAAGACAGCCCTGCTGCCACAGGGAGGGACAGGCTTCAGCAGCTCAGCTATCAGCACGTTCATCACTGGCAGAGCCAAGATTTAACATGTGAAACCAGATCTCAGCCTGGCAGCACCACAGAACAAAACCCAAATTATTTTCTGTCTAAGAGGATATGACCTTTAAACACAGGGACAGGTGGTGCTCATCATGCTCAGTTAAGCAATGTCAATATCCACCTGAAGATGACTGTGGGAGTTACAGAACATGGAAAAGCAAGAGTAACCCTTTTTCCCCTTGCACACTTTCTAAGGAAACGCAAGAGAAAGAATGTAAAGCAGAGCAGAAAGTTTGGGTACTCAGGATCTGTAATTCAGAAATGAAAAGAGTTGAAGCAGAGGTCCCAGCAGAAGGCAGCAGTTCCTCACACAATGCATCCTCTGAAGCTCATTCCCACACGCTTTCATGGAGGAAAAGAGTTCACATGAGTTCAGAAAGTGATTAACAAGTTTATGGAGGAAAAGGGTCACCATTACACAAATATCCCCCCAGCAGCCATGGACTGGAGCCTAAGATTTATCACGAGTTCCTTCTGTTCTTCCACTCTTCCCTGGACCTCCCAGCAGGCCCCTCTTGGCTCTGGCTCCAAACAGCCATTGGTAACACCCAGAATCACTCACTCCACAGGGTTCAGGGTGCTTCTTCCAGGGAGAAATGGGATTGCTACAAGGAGCAGGTACCACGTTGGAGCAGCAGAGCAGGCAGCCCGCCAGGCCTGACCCAGGGGAGGGTGTGACCAGGAGGTGAGGAGCTCAGGGCTGCCCATGCTGCCCTTCTCCCACAGGAGCAATTAACAGTTACACAAAGGCCTGTAAAGTCCCAGCGCTCCCTGTTTGGAGCTAATGCCTTGAGGAGTTTAAAAACACCCTTCCAAGGCATCCTGTCATCTCTTGCAACACTTGAACTACCAAGAGCATCAGATGAGAGACAAGTTGTCCGCAAAGCCCCTCCGAAACCCGACCACAGCCTCTCCTCCCAGCACTGCTGAGCCAGCCAGATCACATCTCATCAACACGGTTCCAGAGCTCCCTGCTCCAGAACCCCCAGACTTCCACCCAGAAAGCTGTGCTAGATCTGCTCACAGACCCATCAGCCTGCAGAGACACAAGCCCTGGACGGGGCCGCAGCGCTCGGGGCTCAGAGCAGCGGGGTGGCCACCCAGGCTCCTGGGGATGCTGCTTCTGTTTCTCATCCAGCTTTAATTGCTGCATCAGCCACATGTGATGGCACCAAAGCAGGAACAGCAGCCACAGACTGCAGTGACACTTTGCTGCCTCTGACCTGAACGTGCTACTCTCAGCTCTGCAAAGCACAGTGCTACAGAGAGGGAGCCTGAGGGTCAGGAAGCAGGACTCGAGTGCCTCAAGACTCACCCACCTCTAGTTTAACACGAGTAGGTTACTAATCACAAGTCTCCCCTCCACAGACCTGAAGAGACCAACAGCTTCAGCCTGATGCTCACAGCAGCATTTAAAGCAGGAGCTTCTGGACCTGGCCCTGAGCAGAAAAGGGGGGGATTGCTCAGAGCTGGAACACAAAGGAGTAAGCAAGTCCTTGGAACCTTCCTGCAGGAGCCTCTGCCTCAAGCTGAAGCAGAAGGGGAGCCAAGCAAAAACACAGGCCCAGCAGGTCTGTAGGCAAAGATGAAACCAAAGTCAGCCTCAGAGAAGTGCAGTTAAATGCTTATCACAGCAGAACCCTGGGCAGCCACCCAGCTGATTCTGAGCTTGTAGGAAGAAATGATTAACTGCCATGGCACAGCTCCTGGTTCAAGGGACAGCACCACTCCTGCCTGCCAGGGCCAGAGAGAGAAGGAAAAGAAGGATCATCTGTGTAGCCAGAAGATGCAAACTACACAAACTGCACTTGGTTCTGTTTTCTACTCACTCAGCACCCTACCTCATCAAGGTGCTTCCACGACACCAGAACTGCAACAATGAGAACCAAGCCAAGAGGAATTTACCATGAACTCTTGTCCCTTCAGACCCACCAAGACACACTGGTCTGTGACATTCTGGCCAGGCCAGTGACTGCAGCAGCACCAGGCTGGTGTGTGGCACAGCACAGGGCACAGCCAGGAAAGAACAACCACCACTGAGCCCCAGTTAGGTGACTGTCCAGTATCAAGGGACCAATCTCTTCCCCTTGCAGTCACTCAATGAGCAGGACCAATAGAAAGCTGTGAAAGAAAAACCACCCACAAACCCTCCCCTCACCACGAAAAAGATCAGCAGCTGAGAGGCAGGGAGAGACTGACCTCAGGACTACAAAGCCCACACAAGCAAAGAGACACTTCAGTTATTAGACTGGGCTAAATGAAGTAAAACAGATCAATGTGGAGTGGATTTCTCCTTAGAAGCAGCATCTCATGCAGCCCTGTAAAACTCAGGGATTTTTAAAGTCATACAAGACCTACTGAACTGCTAGAGAACATCTCTCCTCAGAAGTTACAAGACAGTCAGGAATTAAATCCATTAAAATTCCCATAACAGGAAACACAACTGTTTTATATCTGAACCTACAACATTGAATGGCTGGAAATAGCCAAGACCAAACCCTGGTAAAAGAAAAACTCTAAAGCTAGCTAGGCCTGGAAAGGCTCCAGATGAGGGAGGGAAAAAGGGAAGAGGCCATGTTCCTCAGCCACCCAGAAAACACCATGGATCCAGACAGCTTTCAGGCACTGCCAGAAGCACTTGGCAACAGAGGGGAGGGAAAAGGCAAGCCTAGCATTGCACTGGTATTGCAACAATGATTTACTCACTGCAAGTCACGCTGCTGCCCACAATGTCTCTTCTGGTGGTGGCCAGAAGGGCACAGAAAAACCTGCAGCAACTCAAAGCGTGTTCAGAACCCAGGCTGGGACTTCACCATGGGGTCTGAAGCTTCAGGAGGGGTGAGGTGTTGTTCTCAAGTGAGACACAAACAATCTCTGACTTCACTGAGGCTCTAGAACAAACTGTCACTGGCAGCTGAGGCAGCCAGGGCACAAAGGGAGCCCAGGCAGTGGTGCCCTTTGGAGCCTGGGGGCACTCAGCCCTTCTTCTTGACCAGGAGACCCCCATTCCCAGGGGATGGAGGAGGTGACTGCATTTCCAGAGATGCTCTGTGCCTCACTACTGCCTCTAAACACAACCAAGTGCAGGTGTTGCAACCCTGCAAGCTGCCAACGGCCAGGAGGAGAAAACCCTCCAGCTCCCTGACTGCAGCCCTGACTTCCCTTTAACCCTTCCCTGGCACCCACCAGCCATCCTTTCTTTCAGGGATATTCCAGCCTTAAGCCCTGTGGTTTATCTGTTCATTTTAAGCCAGAGAAACGGGACATTCATGGACCAGCCCAAGTTTGGCTTCCTCTCTGCCTGCACAGCTACCTCAGGTACCTCTGCCTCTCCATGATGGAAGCAGATCCCTAGGGAAGAGCAATCCCGTGTCAGTCCCAGGCCCAGCACTTCCCTGGCAGGCGGGGTGACCCCTTTTGGAAGAGAAGCGATACAGAACAGCCGAGCC